TAGTGAGATTGGCCCAGGATTGGACATTGTTTCGTTCTGCTGTGCATGGGGTCGCTATGAGTCGGTTCCAACTCGATGGCACCTGACAACAACAACAACAACATATCAGCATGGAGGGTTCTGTGTGAATATTTCTCTTGGGTAAACACCTGGGACTGAGCAGGGTTGCAGGGTCACTTAGTAAGTGTGACAGATCCACTTGCTCTACATTGTTGTTGCTGACATGTTTCTAGGACTTCAGCCGTCCACACTCTAATTGACCTTGTTCGCTCTCCCAGATGCTGACAGAGTTTAAATACCATCGCTTGATGTACTTTGGCAAGAATGTCATAATGTCATCCATACTCTGTGAGCGTTGTCTTGACAAATGGAACGTATAGGCGCTCAGAGTGAAAGGGCCTCCGATCATCAAGCTTCCTAAAACCAGTTTTGGGGACATGTTCCATGGTATTACTTTCCAGTGTTTAGAATGAAAAAAATAGGTTTATGTGTGGTGCCATTCTTAGCTTGACCAACCCGCTGTGACTAAGATTTCCTTGCCGTGCTCTTCCTAACTCCTTTCTTCTGGCGTGGTGCATATAGCCTCCACTCACAAAATGTGATTTTTCTTTCTAAACTCCTCATGGTCTTGTTGGTCATAATCCTCCTCCTTTCCCCCATTTCCAGGCTCCGAACCGTCAACTCATGACGTACTGGTTGCAGGAGCTTCAGCAGAAGAGATGGGAATATTGCAACAGTCTCGACATGTTCAAATGGGACAGCGGGACCTCCCCGACCCCCGGAGACTTTTCTAAGGGTCTTGTGGCCAGAGATAACACAGGTAAGGCAGACACAGAGGGGATCTCTGTCAGTCCTTTGTGTGTAGCCGCTGGACACAGCGAGTCTACTTAGCAGAATGAGAACATCAGTAAGGCTGCCTTTGGGACACGTGCGGCATTCTGTAGCTAACTGAGTGCTTCCCTGGGCAGAATCATATTCAAGCCTCATGACAGTCTGGGAGTCAGGTCATGCCAGGGTCAAGTGCACTGAAGAGTTGATGCTGCTGAGGTCACTGAGAGCTGTGGCATTGCAGCCCCAGGTCTGACTCTCGCCCTCATATTTGTGTGGTCAAGCTTGGGCAGCATTGCTAGAGTTTGCAGATGTTACTAATTCATTTAGCAAAGTAAGTGCCCATGGTGGGCTTGGTGCCTCTCCTCTTGGAGGTTCTAGTCAAACAGGGTGGCTGCGGGAAGTCAAGAAGAAAAGGCTTTATTTTAGTCTTTAGGAAAGAGCTCAACTTCACTTAAGAATACAGGTTTTTAAAGATTTTTCAATATGACAAAAAGTTAATATTTAAAGAGTGTATACACTGGTATAAGGAGCTCTGGTAGCGTAGTGGTTATGAATCGGGCTGTGAACCGCAAGGTCAGCAGTTCGAAATTACCAGTTGTTCCGCAGGAGAAATATGAGGCTTTCTGCACCCGTAAAGATTTACAGCCTCGGAAACCCTGTACAGGGTCTCGATGAGTTGGAAGCAACTCCATGACACATAACAACAACAACATACACTGGTATGGCACTGTGGGTTAATGCACTGGACTGCAAAGTTGGTTTGAACTGCAAGGTCAGTGGTTTGAGCTCACCAGTTGCTCCTTGGAAACCCTATGCAGGGTTATAAATGTGTATGCTGTTAACTGACTCAACAGCATACAAATTTATCAAACAACACAAAGACCTTCTCAATGAACCCAGTTTATAAAGAAATACAACTAGTAGATGAACAATGAATGAGGCTCAACATTGTTAGTAATGAAAAGAAATACATGTTCAAACAAAAGACAACCATTTATCCATAATTAAGTACACAGAAACCCTAAATGGAAAAACTGTATTCAAATCACATATTGTTAAGGGAGAAAACAAGAAAGGAACTTACATGCATACAGTTTATGAATATCTATGTGTGGGCATAACTATGGAAAAAAACCAGGCACAAAAATACTGCATGTTTAACTCTTTTTATTTCATATCAGAGATAGAAACTGGTGGCTGAAAAATTGTGTTACCGTGTATGGCAGCGCTGCGTGTTCTTTCTAGAGCTGTGCGCGTAAAACATCTGCTCAGCTAGCCTAGCCATGCTCACCCTAGATAGGACTGAAGACAGGTAAAACTTCTCCTACCCTTCCCTCTTGGTTCCCTCACGTTTGAGCCCTTGTCATTCATTGTCTGATGGGTGTCACCCATCTGTACCCTCCTAGCACCTAAAGTCAGCGTGGGGAAGAGACAAGGAACCGGTTGTGTATCTTGGAAGGCAGTACTAGCTGTTGGAAGAAGCCCTGGAGGCCTGGGATTAAGTCCTGGCTCGGACATTTACAAATTGTCAGACGAGGACCATCATTTATCCTCTAGTTTAGGGCTTGGCAAACTGCGGCCTGTGGGGATAAAGTTTTCTTGGCACACAGCCCTGCCCAGCCATTTATGTATTATCTGTGACTGCTTCCACACAAGGGCACAGTTGAGTAGTTGTGGCAAAAACCAGGTGGCCCACAAACCTAACTTAATTCCTTTCTGGCCTTTTAAGAAAAAGGTTGCCAATCCCTGCTCGAGTGTCTTGAATGCATCTGTTGTCTTTTTTGAGCCTGTTTCCTCATCTGCTGTTTTAGGCAGTGTTCCCTAGAGAAGTAAAACCAGTGATGCTTACATATGTAAATATATGCAGAGATTTCATCTCAAGGATGGCTCCTATGGTTGTGGTGGCTGTGGGTCTGCTGGCAGGCTGGAGGCTCCTCCTGATGCCTGTAGTTTCCAGGTGGAGGTGGGAGGTGGACTTCAGGCTCACAAGCTGCAGAGGCTCTTGGATCCCAACGTCAGTGGGCAGTACAGCAAGCTGCTGGTTTAACTCCAAAGAAGTGAAGATCAGATGACGATGAGCCGAATGCAGGATCTCTTGAGCAAGCAAAAGGCCAGGGAACTTTGCTGGAATGTCCCTAGAGTTTGGGCACAGGCCACAGCTCTGAGGACACCTGGCCAGTCTCGTCCTAGATATAAGTACATCAGTTCTCATCCTAGGAGTTGTGATTGTTAAGTTCTGTCCAGTCACTTCTGACCCAGAGCCACCCTGTATAGGGTTTCCGAGGAATGACTGGGGAGCTTGAACGGCCAACATTGCAGTTCAAACTGACCTTCCAGTCCAGCGCATTATCCCACAGCGCCCCACCAGGACTCCTATCATAGGAGTTGATATTGTTGTTAAGTGCCGTCGAGTCGGTTCTGACCCATAGCAACCCTCTAGAGGGTTTCCAAAGAGTGACTGGTGAGCTTGAACCACCAACCTTGCAGTTCAAACCGACTTTGGAGTCTAGCGCAGTAACCCACAGCGCCACACCAGGAAAGGCTTTTATTGTTACATAACTGTCAAACACTGGGAATCATGGCGCAGCTGCGATGACACACAACCTTAACCATCACATTTCTAAATCGGAATGTGTTCATCGTGTCTGGTGCTTGAGATATCAAGACAAAATAGTTATAGTCCATGTATTCCCAAGAAGTGAGGGACCCATGCAGGGCCAGAGGTAACCATAGGTACCTTACCTGTGCTTGGAGTATTTTGGGGGGTGGGGTTGGTGGTGTTTGGGAAGGCACCCTGCAATTGGGGAGAGCTGAGCTGAGTCTTCAAGGTCAACCTTGAGAAAGCAGAGAAAGAAAGGCCCAGAGGCTGTTGTGTGACTAGGTGCGGACTCCAGGCAGGAGTGACAAAGGGAAAAGCACATAGGATCAGGGATTTAGAAGACAAGAGAAGAATGGTCAGTGGTCAGTGGGGGGGTGGGGCAGGGAGGAGTGATGGGTCATGTGCATTTTGAGGTCAGCCATGGCTAAGTGATAGAGAATGGGCTAGTCAGCAGGTTAAGTCTGATGCTCCAGGCTAGAAATCCCGGTACCCTAGACGACACTTGTGGCTGAGAGGAGACAAGGACACGGGCAGAACTGAGAGACCCGAGAATGGGAGACTAGAAAGACTTAGATTTGAGGGATAGGGAGGCTCTGGGTTTGAGGAGGAATACTAACCAGGACCTTGCCCACTCTGCTTCAGAGCTTTGCTATGAGGCCCAGACAGGAGACTGGATGGGAACGTACAGTCTGGGGAAGGGGCCATAAAGAAAGGGTGCTTCAAGAAGCTAGTGGACAAATGGAATATTCCTATAAATGTCTTAGGATTATGCTCAGCTGCAACACACAGGAAACTTAACTAATAGCAATTTAAACACATAGAGACGTACTGTCTCACGTAGTGGGCAGTGTGTGGCTGGGCTAGCCACTCACCAGTGCGATTAAGGAACCCAGACTCTGTCTAACTTTCTCTTCCCCTCCTTAGCGTACTAACTTTCATGGTCACATTAGCCACCCCTTAAGGGTTTTTCCCAGAAACCCTCAGCTTATGTATGACTCATGAGTTCGAACCCTATCACATGGCATTCCTAGCTGGAAAAGGGTCTGAGTGCAGCTAGGCGTGTGCCTCCCATCCGAATCGGAGTCCTTCCTGTGAGGAAGGAAGCAGCTGCAGTGGGTTCTAGTGAGGCAGCCGCCACCGCCACATGCTCGCCCACCAGAAAAATATTCTTCCAGAAGCCTTACCTTCAGAGTAAGAGACTGGAAAGCTTTACATTAGTCGCCAAGTGTTCGTGAGTGGGATGAGTGTGTATACAGTCTGTTTGCTCTGTTCTGTCTGCCTTCCTTCTGTAGCCCCGCCCCTGCTAGTATGCCGCTTCTCAGACACCACTTTGCAGTATCGTCTTTGTTTGGGTCAAGATATAGTTTCAACCCGGAAGGATGATTTACAAAGAGAGACAGGGTCTGCAAACCCTCATTGCTGCTAAGGCAGCCAGAACCCAAAGGAGGCATTCATAAATCGTAAGATGTGTGTCCTGCCTGTTATGCCTACTCCACTCCTCACGGAAACTAAGAAGGCCTCTGGTTTTAAGACTTTGCGAGTTCAAGGGTCTGAACATGCCCATGGTCAGGGTAGGCTTATGAGGGCCTGAGTTTGAGCGTCGACTGCATTTCTTGCAGAACCTCGTATTGCGCGTAGGGCTTGACTGATGACCACACATTTCCTCCTGTAAAGCAGCAGCGTCATCAAGTGTAGCGGTCCCACTGCGACAGCTTGAGTGGCAATGGGGGGGGGAAGGGGAAGGGAAGCAACCTCTGCAGCCCTCCGGGTAAACACTAGAGCTGCCTAGAAGAAAACCAGGGTGGAGCAAAGACTCAGCACCCACTAAGCCACAGGACTTTCGTGTCTAATGTCTTGGTCCCACAAAGTGATCAAAGACACCGTGCTTCTGTGTAATCCCATTTGTGAAATACTAACAGAATATCATGCGTTGGTCTAAAGTGTACGTTATGGTAATTAGCAGTGTCTTGGCTAGCGGGAGAGGGGTGGGTGTAAACCCCATTTCAGAACCACAGGGGCCTCTGTTAACAGTGTTCTGCTGATATCCCTGGCTCACAGAAGGTCTCCCTTGCCATACGTCTAATGGGTTATTGTCTTCGATTGATTCTTTCAACCATTTTACCAGTATTTATTGAGTACATCCTCTGTACTTAGGGTTGCCTCTGCATCTTTTAACCAAGCAGGGGCCCAGTTCTTGCAAGATTTATTTCTTTGGTGGAAGTTGGGGAAAAGATGGATATGAGATTAAGTAGACCCTAGACTGGCCCACCTGGAGGCTCTCAGTACCTGGAGGTTTGTGGATTCTCCCCAGTAGCCAGTTTCTTTTCTTTTCCTTTCTGTTTTTGATGCTTTCTGCACACTACAGAGCCCTGTGAAGTGCTTGACAGCTT